GCCCCCGTGGCCTCCCGGAAGGCCCCCGTGGCCTTCCAAGGAGCGCCCGCCTTCTGAGAAGGCCGCACCACCCTCGCGCCACCCCTCGAGCCTGTCTGCTCCTTCCAGCCACGGGCAGAGCTCAGCGGTTTATCGCAGGGCCTGCTTCTGGGCCACCTGTGTCTCTCGGCAAGCTTTGACGCTCCAGGGGGGCAGTCCTTGCTGCACTCTGGTCGCAAGGGGCCACCGACACCCATGTCTCAAGTCGCCTCCCTTGGCCTCCCCCGAGGGGCGATTGCTCTCGACGTTGGCGCTGCTTCGAGATCGGGGGTGCTCGTCCCTCGGAGGAGGCGACCGACGGTACTCACAAACGGCGGACGCATCCATATCCACGCTCTCGCGGTCTGAACTCCGGGGGGCGATTCCGTGGCTACAAGGACGCACGGATGCGTCCCGCGTGGGGCTATCCGCAGCACGAGCGCCGTGCATCCGCGTGGTCGTGGCCCCAGGCCTGGCCCCCGCGAAGCCGTGGATCTGGATACGTCGCCGGCCCACAAGAGACTGGTTTGTCACCAACTTCTACCAGAAAGCCTCCAGGCAGGCCTCCGGGGTAACATCGGCTTGGAATCCACGACAGTTCGCCGACAGAACAGGCCCCTGACGACGACGAAGCCGAACGTTCTCCCACAGGGTTGGGCAACCGAAGCCCCGATCGACGATGAACGGTGGATTGGGAGACGATGTCCCCACCCCCTGGACCGACTGACTACACGTAGGAGTGACCCTAGGCTAAGAGTGACCTTTGGTGCGCGGCTTCAGGGATGCCCGTAGGGGCCTAACGCAACCGCGCAAACCAGTGCTGCCGCGACGCATCAACGATCGGCGGGACACCAATCGAAACATTTTTTGCACCAGCGCGCAACCGCGTCTGGCCCGAACGCGTGAACAGAACCGGCTGCTCGTGACGCCCGAGGCGTGGGGCGGGCCCGAGCAAGCACTGACAGGCCCAGACCTCCGTCTCCGCAGGTTATGCACAACGTGGACCCCCGGAGGCGTCGACCCCTGGCCCAGGATCGCGGCGCTTTACCCGGACTCGCTCTTAAACAGTCTCGGGGCTCGGCAAGCGCCCCGAAGCACGAAGAACAGAAGGCTAGGGCTGGCAGCGCGCAGTGGGGAGGTAGGGGAGGGGGGAAGGCTTCTTGGAAGGAGGCCGCTTCTTAGAAGGCTCGGGCCTTACATCTACAGACAAGGCCCGCGCCTTCTAAGAAGCATGGGTGTTTATACGATGACATGGCGGCGGCTACTGCTCGACCCTATGGATTAGCTACTTCTTCTCGGCTCTTTGCGGGTAGTTCAAGGTTGAGCCTCTGCCCCTCCCCATACCCCCCTCTGCGCGTGGCGGACAGGGTTGTTCTCAACCTTCGTGCTGGCTGTACTGCCTGAGGCAGCCAGCCGTAGCAACCAGCGCTGGCGGAGCCAGTCTTCGATTGCTCAGAGACGTTCTCACGCGGAAGAGGCACAGGTTTTGGGAAATGAATACAAGCCAGTGCACCCAACAATTCCCTTCCCCGTCGTCCCTATCACCATCGCCGTCAGCATTGTTATCATCAATGTCGCCATGACTTGAGTCGCCGCGGTCCAAACGAATGTCGCCGTCGCCATTCAGGACACTGGAAATTCGTGAACCAGCAGCGGCAATAAGCGCAGACCTCTGAAACCTCCATGCGGAAAAACTCGCCTTGAAACATGGGCGAACGTGATGTGGATAACTTGTCGTGCCACGTCGTGTTCACACTGCCCCCCCAAATCCGAGGTTGCCAGGAATGTTCCTGGCACAAGGTATCCTCAGTTGCTGGTGCTGCCTTGCCCCCTGGGCCTCTCGAGGCGTGCTCTGGAGGCCGCTTGCGCGTCCTTGCACGAAGCCGGGGCCGGCTCGGGCCAAGCCTGCATCTGACACTTTACGGCCCAGCCGGACCACCACGAGAACTCCCCACCCAAACCTCCGACGTCTCAACTCTTCGCACCGAAGAGCCCCCGGAAGCTCAACCATTTCCCTGGACCCGTTCTGTGTCATGGCCACTTGTTTGACACACCTGGGGCCCAGTGGATGTCACGCTATTCTTGCAACGCGGGGAGGTGTGGGTCGTCAGTGCCGTGGCCATACGCTAGATCGAGGGAAACAACTACTGAACACTCCCCCTCCCCTCAAAACCCAAAGTTGGCACGCGCGGAGGAGATTGCGGTCGAGGTGCGACTCATCAGACCCACCGCCAACTCTGAACATTGGGGGGAGGGGAAGGAATCGACAGATGAATGTGGCATGAGTGCTCACTATTGTTTCCGAGGCCTGCATCGCCATCGTCACCGCTGCATCCGCGCACAAAAGCCGAGGCAGTCTGCCCGCCTGCAGGCCCTTCATCACCCCGAGCACGAGGCGCGACTCCCCAGGCCTGGCGGGGTCCCGGCATGTCTCGGCAGCCGCGGAGCCTACCGCTGTTGCGAAGAGAGAGAGAGAGAGATAGAGAGAGAGAGAGAGAAAGAAAAGAGAGAGAGAGAGAGAGAGGGCGAGAGAGAGAGACAGAGAGAGAAAGACAGAAAAGAAAGGGAGAGAGAGAGAGAGATAGGGAGAGAGAGAGAGAGAAGAGAGAGAGAGAGAGAGATGGGGGGTGAGCTGCTCCTGTTCGCGCTCGCGATGCTCGTGTCCCAGCCCCCCATACGCCTGCGTCGGCTGCGCCCGAGGGAGGGGGGGGTCGAAGAAGGCAGGGGCCGTCCTAGAAGGGCCCCCGTGGCTTCCAAGAAGGCCTCTCAGAAGGCTTCTGCCTCAGAAGCCCCGCCGCCTCCTTCGAAGCGCACCCCCCTCGCGCCACCCCATGTGGGCGCCGCCAAAAAACATGGTAACGTGCACGGGCTGGAAGACCACGCACGTTCCACGGATGCGTCTTCTCCCTCCTAACGCGCCAGCCCCCCCCCCCCGTTGGGCGCGCAAATGCGCGGCGCCAAGCACTCGACCAGTGCCGCCAGTCTGAGGTCGGGCATGTCCTCCGACAGGCGGATTTAGGCAGAAAAGGAAACATTGTTAAAAACAAAGCTCACACATGTTAAAACATAATGAGAAAAGCAAGCGTCCCCTGATTATTGTTGGCTATGTGTTTCCTATTCCTCCTGTAGAGGGACACGCCCGACTTAGCGCCAGCACCAGGGCTCTGGAGTCCCTGGAATATCGATCTTCGATCAATGCCGATCGATCGTCGGCCCTCCTCCTCCCTCTCCTCCTCCTCCTCCTCCTCCTCCTCCTCCTCGTCTAATTCCTCCTCCTCCTCAAATTCCTCCTCCTCCTCCTTCTTCTCTAATTCCTCCTCCTCCTCCTCCTCCTCTAATTCCTCCTACTCCTCCTCCTCCTCCTCCTCTAATTCCTCCTCCTCCTCCTCCTCTAATTCCTCATCCTCCTCCTCCTCCTCTAATTCCTCCTTCTCCTCCTCCTCCTCCTCCTACTCTGGGCGTCGCGAGCAAACATCGCGACGGCCGCTTTGCTCGTCAGCTCCTCGGCCTCCATGGAGGCCGCTCCTCGGCCACCACGGGGCCGTGCGGCACGACCCGGGTGCGGCGCGCGGCGCCTGCCCCCGGGGAAGGGGCACATCGCGACCTCCGGGGAGCCCCGGCGCGACAGCGTCACAGCGGCTCTGCGACGACGGCAGCTCCAACGTGAAAGAGGAGGAGGAGGAGGAGGAGGAGGAGGAGGAGAAGGAGGAGGAACTGGAGGAGCCTCGAGGAGGAGGAGGAGGAGGAGGAGGAGGAGCAATTAAAGGAGGAGGAGGAGGCGGAGGAGGAGGAATTAGAGGAGGAGGAGGAGGAGGAGGAGGAGGAGGAGAAGGAGGAAGAGCAATTAGAGAAGAAGGAGGCGGAGGAAGAGGAGGAAGAGAAGGAGGAGGAGGAAGAGGAGGAGGACGAGGGGTCAGCACCGCCCACGGTTGGCGGCGCGCATGGGATGGCGCCAGGAGGGCCGCCTTGTTAAGAGGGCGGGATGGCTTCTTCGAAGCCGCCACGGCTTCTCGGAAACCTCTGAGGAGCTTCCCGGCCCTTCTGAGAAGGCCCCCCGCCTTCTTGGGAGGCCACCCCTCTCCACCCCCTCGTGCACGCCGCCAGCACGCTGCACCATACCTCCGAGGTTTGAACGCTCTCGATGCGGGGCCTCCGGGAGCTCTTAGAGCACTTCGCGGGCACCGATCGTTCGCCCAGGATCGTCTGCAGGCAGTCCCGGGGCCTGGCGAGGGCCCCCCAGACGCCGAAAGCGAAGAAAAAAAACGTTTTGTTTTTGTTCGCTTGGAAGTGTAGGCCCCCGCCGACCACGAGAGCTCGATCAACGAGCAGCCGAGAACATCGGCGAAGAATCACCCCCTGGCGGGACATCGTGACTCTGTCACCGCGTGAGCCCCTTGAGGTCTCGGGCCCTCGTTGCTCGAGGACCGGCTCTCATCCCGAGCTTTTTGTATGCAGCAAACAAAGAAAGAACATCTCCCGCCATTTTGTTTGCACGACGCGAGGGGGTCGCCGAAGATCTGTTCAAAGCCGATCCGCAGACCCTCCCGGGACCCACACTGGCCACCTTTGCGATCTGCGTCCAGCCGTGGCCACGAGAAACCCCAAACTCGGGGCAAGGAAACGCACCGTCTCCACCACCTGGAGGGTGGAGGCACAGGGTGGTCGGTGGTGGTGGTGGTGGTGTATACCGTCCTCGGCGCTCTCGCGGGGCACCATGCGCACCTGCACCCCATACACCATCTAATCCTGTACCCCCCCAGGTGGTGGTGGGGGTGGTGCGCTTCCTGTTGCCAGCCAGAGCCTAGAGGCCTCCCAAGTGGAGGCGGAGTAGATAGGGTCAAAGGACAGGGCCGCATCTCCGATGCATCCCCGATGCGTCGGCGATGCATGCGATGCATCAGCGACACGGCGCGACCCCCCATCTGCTTCGACCCCACTCGGGAGGCCTAGAGAAGCGACCGAAAACCTTGAGGATTCGCACATCTCCTGGGGGCAACGACAGGCGATGGGGGGACTGGCACAGAGGGGCGGAACACTCACCTGGAATCGACGATGCATCGCCGGTAGCTTGGTAGCGACACCGAACGTTCCTGGGCGGGGTGGGCTATCGGGCCCCTATCGGCGATCAAAATAGGCAGAGGGATTTCGCCACGTGGTGCGAAATTCCCCCCTCCCCACCGAATCCCCCTCCTCGTCCTCCTGTTTATATCCTCCTCCTCCTCCTCCTCCTCCTCCTCCTCCTCCTTCCGCCCCGGGGGTGGGGGCCTGGCACCCGTTTTCATGGCGTCAACGCCACGCACTCCTCGGGGCACACTGTCAGCGTCAATTGCACGCGGCGGCTGGGGGCAGATAAGCCAGCTTTCGTCGTTCTTGCACCAGCAACGTGGCACCTTGCCCGTGGCAGCGGCGCGTTAGCTGCGCCCGTGGCCTGGAGATGGGTACCAGGCACGGGGAGTGTGCATTTGGTTGAGAGGCGGGGCCATGTGGTCCGTAAGTCCCTTGGGACCTTGTGTCCGCTCACCCTGGGGTACAAGCCCACTTGCACATGCCATCCGATTCGGCAAGGGTGACGGTCGGGAAATACTGGGCGGTGACGCGGTGAACCGGCTGTCCCCCTACGCACCACGCCGTCTCGGTTGGACAGCGAATCGCTGAGCGACGAGGTATCTGCCTTTCCCCTGACCGTCGGTGCTGGCGCCTGCGGGCCCCTTCCTCCTGTCTGGGAGGCCGAGGGTGACAGTTGAGCCTCGCTCGCCGTTCACTTCTTGGATCTACGACCCTCATGACACTCCTCCTCCTCCTCCTGCCTCCTGCTCCTGCTCCTCCTCCTCCTCCTCCTCCTCCTCCTCCTCCTCCTTTTCCTCCTCCTCCTCCCACTCCTCCTCCGATTCGCGTCACGTGACGGATCCAGGTCGCCGACAAACGGCGACTGGGGGTCGAGGCGTCCCCCCCCTGACGTTGCCCCTGGTGGTTTTCGAGTCATAGCTCGGCTCTCCGGCAGCCGCTCGGAACAGGTCGGGCACCCCCAGAACGCTCTCAGCAACGCGCCGCTGCTGGCGAGCGCCTCGGGGCCGGGACACCGCGGGGGGGACCCCACGACGACGCACGACACCCCCCAACCTCGAAAACCTGACAGCCCCCTGAGCCCATCCCTCCTTTGTCGTTGCCCCTGTAGCGGCGGGGCCCACCTCCGCACCCGACGCGGCCTGCGCCGCCCGGCCGGCCGGCGCGCGGCGCGGCGGCGGCGCCCGCGCGCGCCGCCGCCTGTAAAGCTGGAGCTCCTGGCGCCGGCTGCCACCCTGCTCGAGGTCCCGCTGCAGGAGCCCGCCCTCGCCGTGCACCTTGCCGATGATGCCGATGGCCTCGGCGGGCGCCGGCGTCGCTCGCGAGGCCGCCGTCCGGGGGCGCCGGCCCGTGCCAGATCGCCAGCGGTGCGCTCTCTGCTGAGCCGTCGGGCGTTTTCCTTCGGTGTCGGCCTCGTACGGGGGCCGCTTTGGGGGGCCCCAGGGCCCTCGAGTAGCATGGACCTGGGGCGGCAAGCTACCCCCGGGCTTAAGCGGCCGAGACCTCCGGGGTAGTCGTCGTCCTTCGTCGTCGTCGTCGTCGTCGTCGTCGTCGTCGTCGTCGTCGTCGTCGTCGTCGTCGTCGTCCTTCGTCGTCGTCGTCGTCGTCCTTCGTCGTCGTCGTCGTCGTCTGTCGGTAGTCGTCATCCGTCCGTAGTCGTCATCGGTTCTCGAGGCCCGAGACTGTTGAGCGGCCTGGCACCTGGAAGCTGGACCACACACGCGCACGGCTGGGCTCACATGCTGCGGAGCATTCGGAGACCACCTGCTGGACAGAGGTGTGGATGATCGTCGCGCCTGGCCGCATATGAGGGGCCCAGCGCTGGAGAGACGTCCGTCAAGATATGTGTCCAGCTGTGGCCCAGGCCGGCCACGTCAGGTGAATCCAGCTTCCTGCTACAGCCGAACATGTGGTCAAGCTACTCGTCATTTGGGAAATCTGGGCCAGCTTCCCGGAGGCATCTTGAGGCAAGCCCTGGGTCAAGCTCTGTCGATCACGCCGGAGGGGCGAGCTTGCTCAAGAAGCTGGTCCAGCCTTCCGGCAGGTTGGCCAAGAAACGCTGGCCTAGCTTTTCGGGAGGAGGGTTCCTAATCAGATCCTCGATTTCAGAAAGATATAACCCATAGTCTTTGCCCTTCTGGGCAAAAACACGACAAACCCATGATTTTGAGTTTTTCACGCAAAGCCTTCTGGCAAAAACGTATTGTTGATTATTTGGTCCGCGTCGTAAGCGCCAGCTATCGGGTCAGGGCGGTCTTTCCCGCAGGCTTGCCAAGGAACGCTGGTCGAGCTTTTCGGGAGGAGGCTTCTCCATCAGATGCTCGACTGTAGAAAGGGGAGGAGGAGGAGGAGCAGCAGGAGGAGGATGAGTAGGAGGAGAAGGAGGAGGAGGAGAAGGAGGAGGAGGAGGAGGAGGCGAAGGAGGCGGAGGAGGCGGAGGAGGAGGAGGAGGAGAAGGAGGAGGGTGAGCAGGAGGCGGCAGCGGGCAGCCAGCAGGGAGGGGGCCCTGGGTGCGAGTCCTGCCCGTGCAGTGCGCCCCCCCCTCGCGGCGACGTCGCTGCAGTCGTCGGGCTTGTGGGAGTACTCCTGGCTGCCTTGAAAAAACAGGGGAGACCCGTCTGCGAGCTCAGGAGGAGGGGGGAGGAGGAGGAGGGGGGAGAGGAGGAGAGGAGGAGGAGGAGGAGGAGGAGGAGGAGTAGGAGGAGGAGAGGAGGAAGGAGGAGGAGTAGGAGGAAGAGGAGGCAGGAGGAGGGGGGAGGCGGAGGAGGAGGAGGAGGAGGAGGAGGAGGAGGAGGAGGAGGCGGAGGATCGGGCCCGCGAGGCCGTGGATCTGGGGGGATGCTTTCCGCCCACGGCCACGCCTCGGCTCCCCGCAACGGGGGGAGAGCCGTAGTACCTATGTACGCCTTGGAAGTATATGTGCACAGGGCAGGTTTTAATACATGTGATTTCTAAAAATATAGGATGTTTCATCCATGGTTGATTTAAGAATCCGCCAGCCCCCTTGTGGGGCCACCAGGCTGTAGGCCCGTGATTCGCAGTTTCCTGTACCAGTTGTAGTTTGTAGTTTCCAGTGTTACAGTTCTGCTTCTTGCTGGTTACTATAACTAGTTGATTGACCGCGCGAGGGGAGGGAGGCCCAAACTAGATTTTTAGCACCCCCTGGGCGCGTTGTCTGAATTGCTGGGGGGCTCGAAATCGACACCCCTCACGCAGATCCGCGGGGTCAGGGTCCAAAATCACAGGGGATGTGCCACATTTCTGAAATTCGGTGCCACCCCTCACGCAGATCCGCGGGGTCAGGGTCCAAAAAACACATGGGATTTGCCACATTTCTGAAATTCGGTGCCACCCCTCACGCAGATCCGCGGGGTCAGGGTCCAAAAACACATGGGATTTGCCACATTTCTGAAATTCGGTGCCACCCCTCACGCAGATCCGCGGGGTCAGGGTCCAAAAACACATGGGATTTGCCACATTTCTGAAATTCGGTGCCACCCCTCACGCAGATCCGCGGGGTCAGGGTCCAAAAACACATGGGATTTGCCACATTTCTGAAATTCGGTGCCACCCCTCACGCAGATCCGCGGGGTCAGGGTCCAAAAACACATGGGATTTGCCACATTTCTGAAATTCGGTGCCACCCCTCACGCAGATCCGCGGGGTCAGGGTCCAAAAACACATGGGATTTGCCACATTTCTGAAATTCGGTGCCACCCCTCACGCAGATCCGCGGGGTCAGGGTCCAAAAACACATGGGATTTGCCACATTTCTGAAATTCGGTGCCACCCCTCACGCACATCCATCGCAAGGCGTGGTAACCCAAACTGCGAGAACTCCCTCGGCCCTTTAATCGCAAGGTGTGGTAACCAAGCCCGTAAACCATACACGTCTTACCAGTCGCCAGGTGTGGTAACCCCTCTTGTGATCAGTTGGTGTTGCTGATTGCGAATCGGCTTCGCATGAAGTTTCGATACTGCTTCACGACAGCGCCAAGGCCTCATGACTTAGCTCTTCCATGGCCCATTCTCCGAGAGAGGGGGCCGGCGGCAGGGGGCGAAGCCCTTACGGATAATACAATAAACGTATGCATGAACCCATCTTTGTTTTTAGTACTCAATCCCTGCATGCTTAATACATGATCCGCACGCGGAGCATGTATAAGCAACGGCACTGTATATACATTTACAGGAAACCAAGTGCGCGCGCGCTTAGGCTCCAGTCATGCCCAGCCATTGAGAAGCTCACAGCTGCACCGATCACAAGTGGCCCCAACATGAGATGAAGACGTGTGAACAGTGTGGATCGGTCAGAGACGAGCTCCTGGCAAGGACTGGCCCATGTAATTGAATGCAGTGACCAGGATGCGTTGAATGCGAGGGAAACAATGCAACGCAATGCCATGGACATCGGATGCGAGGGCAACGGCATGCAAAGCACTGCAAGCAGACATGAGCGAAGCAACGGCAAGGCGCAGGAGAGCTATGTTCACCAGCACAATGTGAATCACGAAGCAAGGCGAATGCACATGCAACGTAAAGCAACTCAGTACAATACAAGGCACGATAGCGCACGCAACCAAACGAATCCGAGGGACACGAGATCCTAGAGACAAGGCGTTCTAAGAAGAGCCGAAACAGCGCTTCGAGGGGGGAAGACAGGCACACAGGGCATCAAAGAAGATCCCAAGATAGCTTCGAGAGAGGCTAGGAGGGCCCAAGAGAAATCCCAAGAGAGCTCCCAGGAGGCTCCAAAACGAGAGGTCTGGGGTGTCTGGGAAGCTTCCTGGACTGGACATAGCATTGGGCCTCTTATGGGGCTCTTGAGTTCTCTAGGGGCCTCTGGGGACGATCCTGAAGACCTCCAGGAAAATCTGGGGGGCAAGTTTGTCGCTGTACCCGCCAAGTTGGTGCCCCATGACCTCTCTTAACGCCCTCTGGAAACTCTCTTGGGGTTCGCGCGGGCCCAGTTCGGAAGCCTCCTGGGCCGCCTTGAGGCTCTCTAGGGCCGCTGTTGCGGGGCCCTCTTGGGCCGTCTTGAGGCCACCTTGAGCCGTCTCGGGCCCCCTCGGACGCCTCTTGGGCCGTCGTGGACACTGTGAAGATCCACGAAGCGAGTGTACTAAAATACAGGTGATCCCCAGAGAATGGGACGAGGGCGACGTTGACCTCCTTGGGCCACTCCTGGGCCCTCTTGGAGCGTCTTGGAGCGCTCTTGGAGACCTCTCGGAGCGTCTTGAATCGGGGATGGACAGACCTCCCTTTAGTAAAACGTGGTTTAGTGAAAACGACCTCGGGCCCAAACCTGGCGGGCGCAAGCCTGGAAAATAACGGCCGCGGCGCCCTCACGAGAATCGAAAACGGACAATTCACTAATCGACGTGTCAGGGTAGGAGGTCTGTCCACCCCCGATTGAAGGCCTCCTGGGCAGCCCGCCGGCCATCTTTGGCGCTGGAGTGCTCTCGAGCTGCCCCGGGAGCCTCCGGAGCAGCCGCAGAAGGCTCCTGCGCCCGCGCCACATTGAAGGGGCCCTGGGACACACAAATAAATACACACCACAAATAAAAGGATTCCGCGTATTTTCCCATATTTTCTGGGTTTCTCTCTTCCCCCCCACTCCCCACATTTTCCCATCTGTTCTGGGAAATCGACGATTCATTGAGTCTGTGTTTTTTCTCCTCTTGACACATGCCGGAGCGAATCGAGAGGGAGGGTGCAACTTGGAGACAATGTTCTTTTGCAAGTGGGGGGCCGCCATCCATCGAGTGAGGCGGGAAGCGGGGCAACGGGGGGAAGGAGTGAAGGATAGCTGACGAGGAGGGAGGGAGGAGAAGGACGGAGCAGGGAGGAGAGAGGAGGGGGGAGAGTCATACATGAGAAGAGAGGAGGCACCTTCGACGAAGGCCAACCCCTTGCGCCCCCCACCCCCCACCCCCTCTGCGCACCGCCGAGAGATGTCAGCGGGGGGGGTATGGCAAGGGGCCTCCCAAACCTCTAGACCTCCACCGTCCTGAATCAAATCGCAACCGAACTTCGAGGGCGTGACCTCGAGGATCGACGATGCGTGAGAACAGGGCAAATACGCGAATAGAATGGGAAATCGACGTAGAAGCCTCTGAACATCCTCCTCCTCCTCCTCCTCCTCCTCTTCCTCCTGTGCCTCGGCCGCCTCCAATTCCATCTCCTCCTGCGGCTTCTCTCTTCCGTCTCCGCCTCCTCCTCCCACCTCCTCTGGCCACTTCCTCCTATCACCTCCTCCTCCTCTGACCTCCTCCTCTTCCTCCTGCTTCTCCTCTGACCTCCTCCTGACGTTCCTGCTTTTCCTCGTTCTCCTCCTCGTCCGAGCATCCCTCCTGCCTGTCCTCCTCCTCCTGCTCCTCCTCCTCCTCCTCCTCCTCCTCCGGCATCACCCTCCTCCAGCTCTGCTCCTCACCCGCCTTCTTTGGACGCCTCCTCCAGCTCTGCTCCCATCTCCTCCTGCTCCTGCTCCTCCAGCTCTGCTCCCATCTCCCGGGGGCCTCGTGGAGGGGTGGTGTGCAAACCGTCTTGGACGCTCTCGGGGGCGCTCCCCGAGGCAGCTTGGGGCTCCTCGGAGGCACCTCGGGGGCTCCTGGGCCTGGCGGGAGCCCTTGGGGCCTCTCGGGCGTCTCCTGCGGGCTGCTCGGCGCCTCCTGGAGGCCTCTTCGGGGGCAGCGCCGGCGCGCCTCCTCCGGGCCCCTCGCGGCTCCGTGCGCCCCTCGGGAGCACCGGTCGGACCCGTGGGGGGGTCGTGCGGCAGCCTCGGAGGCGGAGGCGGAGGAGGAGGAGGAGGAGGAGGAGGAGGAGGAGGAGGAGGAGGCGCGGGACGGCACGTATATCATTGACTCTTCTCGGGCCCTCACACGTTTCTGGGCCTCCCGAGGCCTTCCCTGGAGCTCTGTCCGGCGGCCTCGGGGGCCTCCTGGGCGCTCGTGGGGTCCCCATTGGCTGTTGGATAGCCGTCGTGGGCCGTTCTGGAGCACTACTGCCTGACGCGGGGGCGCCCTGAGCAGTCGTGAGGCCCCCACGGGGCGTACATGGAAGCCCCGGAGGGCAGTACTAGGCATTCGCCGAAGATGTTTTCGAGGTTGGGCGGGGTCCTCGGGGGGTGGGTATGGGGGGAACGCTAAGCTATACATAACCGCGTGCAGTCCATGTACAGATAGATGTATATATCCACGCATGTATGTATGAAACTATGTGTGAATGTATGTGTGTGTGGGCATGTATGTACGTACATACGTATGCATGTATACATGCATGCATGCATGTATACATGTATATGTATGCATGCACGTGTGTAGATATGTATGCATGCACACCTGCATGTGTAGATGTATGCACGAATGTAAACGTGTAAGTATGTAAGTGTGGATGCATGCATGTATGTATGTATGCTAGTAATACTGCCTGTACGCATGCGTGCACGCACGTATGTATGTATGGATGGATGGTTGTACGTGTATGTACGCGCGTGTGTGCATGTCTGTAGGTAGATATCTATGTGTGTCGGTATGTCTGTCTGCATGTCTGTCTGCCTGCCTGTCTGTCTGTATGTATGGATGTGTGTACGTATGCATGCATGTAGGTATGCATGTATGCATGCGTGTATGTACGTTTGTGTATGTATGGATGTATGCATGTATATGCGTGCGTCTATGCATACCTGTATGTATGCATACATGAATGTATGCATGCATGCATGCGCGCATGTATGCATGTAGGCATGTAGGCATGCATGCGTGCATGCGTGTATGTATGCATGCATGCAGGCGTGTAAACACGTATGCGTCCATACACGTATGCACGTATGCATATATGCATGCATGCTTGAGTGTATATATAAATGTATGTACAAATGCATGTGTATGCATGTAGGTTGGTATGTATGTATGCATGTGCGTTTGCATGCACGCCCGTATGCATGCATGCATGCATGCATGCATGCACGTATGTATGTGTGTATATATACATACATGTGCAGGTATTGATGTATGTATGCACGCATGTAGAATTGTACGTGTAGAAATAACAGCATGAATGCATGGGTTAATGGACGGACGGAAGGATATGGACGTATGAATGTAAAAACGTATGTACGTATGGAAGTGTGTACGTTTATATGGCTAATGTTTCGCATATCCCTGCATCACATCAAATCGATACATCGATGGCGGATATGTATATATATATATACATATATATATATAGATATGTCAGTATAAGGAGAGGTGAATGTAGAGAGAGAGAGAGAGATGGCCTGAGATAGGTGTTCGGGCTGCAACCACGCGGCAGGATCTGCGATCTGCGGGGGCGCGGAGGGAGAAGGCGGCGCAAATCAGATGCGCCGGCGTCGGCCGCGCCGCGACGGGCCACGCGCCTGGGCAATTTGGTTCAGGGACTGGCTGTTCATCTGCATGTCCTCGGTGTACTTGGCGTTCTCCTCGCTCGAGGGGGGGCCCTCGACTTCGACTTCGGCGCGACGCGTGGGGGGGGAGAGAGAAAGGTGCCCTTTCCTTCGGACCCTACGTGCCCCCTTCTGGGCCCTCGAGAGCCCCTGTAGGGGCCCGAAATGGCTCCTTCTCAGCAGCCCTCTGCACCCCCACATGTGTCGCCCCCCTCATAAGAGTGCAGGAAGGCCTCGCTCACAATAGGCACCCCGAAAAGCGAAGCCGTTTAGTAAACGAACCCGAGAGAAGAATCGAACAGGGCAGGGCTGTTCAACAAACGCGCAGAGCCTTCCAGTTGCACAACAATTTTCGGGATCGGGGTGGTCTGTCTTCCCTCGACATTACGCGGCCTCCATGTTCCCAGCCCCTCCTGCATCCGGTGCCGTCGTCGTCGTCGTTGCCGTCGTCGTCGTCGTCGACGTCGTCGTCGTCGCGGTCGGTCCCGTGTCCGTCCCTCTTAGGGTCGGGTTGCCGCCAATCAGCGCTGCCGCTGGCCAGGCCGACGGTCCGCGGCCGCCCCGCCGCTTGCCGGGGCCTGGCCTGCAGGGAAGAAAGGCATACTCCCCAAAAAGGGTACGATCGAAGACGGAGAGGGCGGGTCCGCGAGCCACCCGCGACCCACTTGCGACCCACCCGCGACCCACCCGCGAGCCACCCGCGAGCCAGCCGACCCACCCGCGACCCACCCGCGACCTACCCACATTGGTTTAACGAAAAATCGGCGCCTGCGGCGGGCTCGTTGTGTAATGTGTGAAACTTTGGCTCCTGCGGCGGGCTTCTCAAGAGACTCGCAAACTGCCGACGTCCCCGCCGCCCCCTCACTGCTATCCGCATCTGCGGGGTGCTACGGTATGAAAAAAGCGGCGTACACACATATGTACATATACACACATATACATATATATATATATATACGTATATTTATATATATATATATACAGATACATACATACATGTGTATATATATATATATATATATATATATACACACCACATGGGAGGTCCGCGCATGATTCATGGATCGGTGCTGGCCCCCCCCGAGCACGCTGGTGACGTCTAGGAAAGGGGGGCCTCCCGCGGAGCGGGCCCAGACCCCCGACCTCGTACTCTCTTCGCCGCCGTGCGCCCCCGGGAGGTCCGGACCTCCTCCCGGGGGCTCGCACCTGGCGGCCCCCAGGCCCGGTGAGGGCTCCCAGGCGGCCGAGAACGGCCCCAGACCCTCCGCCGCGACTCTTTCCACGGATCCCCCTCCTCCATCCTCCTCCTCCCTCCTCCTCCAATTTCTCCTCCTCCTCCATCCTCCAACTCCTTCTCCATCCTCCTCCGCCTCCTCCTCCATCCTCCTCCATCCTCATCCTCCTCCTGCTCTTCCTCCTCCTCCTCCTCTGGAGCCTCTGGAGCCTCGGACAAGTCTATCCCTCAGCGAAAGATAGCCTGCAAAAACAAATTCAATGCACTGGGAATGGCACTCCAACCTCCCTCTTGCTGGTTGGGTCCACTCCTCTGCGGAGCATCTTCAATGCTCTCGCGCCTGCGTCCGAGGGATGGGAGCAGCGCGCGGCCAAGTCTTTGACCTGCCGCCGCGCGTGTCTCCCGCACACGGAACAATGAAAGAGATCTGATTCGCCCAGGTGCCACATCCGATGAGACTCATGCACTTTCGCTAAGACTCTGGGGATTCCTGGGCATACATTCTGAACTACCACACTACGTTTCTTTGCCGTCTTACCGCAAACACGACAGCCCCACACACCGTTTGTAATGTGCAGGAGATGTTCTTTGTCATCGGGGTCGATCCTAAGCTGTAGGATGGGCTCAGCTGGACCTACAACAAGCCTGGGCGGTTTCGCTGTCGGCTTCTTAAACGGCGCTACATCGGGAAAACTCAACTCGCTGAGCCTCTTGAGGGTTCCCCCGAGGAGCCTCACGAATTGCCTACCTATGTTTTCGGCTGCTGCTACACGCTGCTCTACATGGGCTGCTGAGGGGTGACCCATGGCTCCAAGCTTAGCGTATTTATCTGCTGCTCTGTTCCCGTAAAACCAGTCGTCAGGATACCCGTTGTTGCGATACCACGATTGGGACCTGTGAGATGGCATCCACAGGACCTCGACGTTTTCTGAGCCAATGTCATCAAGCTTCCAGAAAATGTGCCTCCAGATCTCCCAAAAGGCCTGCTTCGGATTGCACATAACATTCGGCCCCTTCTCGAGGCCTATGATGATATTCTTATGGTCGGTAACGACGGTGCCCTTTGCCCCGCCGAGCAAGTGGAGCGCCTGCAGCAGGGCGTAGTGCTCGGCGAGACCTGAGGACTGAACAATACCTGGAACAGGACCGTAAGCTGCTGCCAGCACATCCTCGGTCCCAGGTCGAATCGAAACTGCCGCCCACCCCGCTCTTGTCAGCCAGTCGAAATCTGGGTTTAAACCTGATCCGTCCGTGAAGATGAGTGGTGAACCTGCCCCTGGGAGGATAACATCTCATTTGGCATTCTCTGGCCTGGAGCGGCGGTGGCATATCATCTCGCTGACTGTCCACAACTCCGAAGGTGGTGAGGACTGCATCTGGGTTCTCGCGGCCAAGGCGGATCAGCTCCTGAAACCCTTGCTCGCGCCTCCAGCTGGCGAGCCCGTCGCACTCGCAAAGCCGATGAGAGATCGTGCCACGGCCGCCGCGGCACCAGCTACAATCCCTGTCTATCGTGAAACGTTCCTGGAAGAGTTTCTCCTGAGTCCAGAGGCCCCCAGACATGTGCATGCTGACCAGGTCCGCCTGAATAAACTCCCCTTGCCCACGAAGTTGTCTGAGTTCGGCTTTTACAGGATCCAGGAAAGCGAAACCTTGCCATCCATGGTGTGTTGCTGCTGCTAACTCCTGCTGTCTCCTCACTCCTCTACGTATGACCTTCTTCAAATCTGGCATACAGACTTCTCTGAGATCTACTGGGAGCCCCCGAGGATCTTGCCACTGCGAAAAAGAACTGGCCTTCCAGCCCAGTCTGCGAAGCGTCCTCACAACCGCTCCTGCTGGGCCTATGACGGCCGCCCAACCCTTTGTCTCTCTCTCCAGAGCCGCCGTGAAGATACGAGACATGAGATTCTCTGGGATCCACGGCTGATGCAAAGCCTGCCACCATGTGACCAAGGGTAATGTGTTGACAATATATGATGGATCTAGATCCGCTGGATCTGCCAGAAGGAAGTGCACCGCTCGGGATCGGCCTTTCGCCTTCCCGAACAACGCGAAACCAGAGACTGCCCTGAGATCTTTCAAATCCTTATCCGTCATCCCCATCACCCGCACCCCGTAAGTAGCTGCTGAGATCCCTCCCGTCCTGTAAACCTTCGCTAAACCTTTGCTATGATGTCGTAAAGCTCTAAACCGATGCGCTCGTCGTCGTAGCTTGCTGACCCTGCCCTGAATGATCTTCTTGCCTTTGCGAAGCTGCAGACTGAAATCATGGCCAAGATTCTCGACACTGGCACAAACTGCAAACCGAAAAGCACGTAAATCACGGCCTAACTTTTCTGCCACGGCAGGGCAGGAGGACATCACCTGGCACTTCTTCTTAGAAACGACCAACTCGAGCTTCTCTAGCTGCCTGCAAAGATCTGGAATCGCCTTCGCTAGCAGAGCTCTTACTCGCTGGGCTGATCCAATCGCCGCCAAGGTGATGTCGTCTACCATGACATACAAGGTGAGGGACGGCCAGCGCACCTGCATGTACTCTAGCGCGTCTTGCACTACTACCCTGAGCATGGTTGTGGCAAACGGGCAACCTGCGATAATTGACCGTGCCAGTATGATGATGGCGGATATCACCTCCCGAACCTTGAGCCTCCTGGGGCCTCCATATACCCTGATGAGCAGACGGGCCCTTCTCAAGTTGAAACCGTGCTTCTTACACGCTTGCCACAAAACATCGTGAGGGATCTTCTCATAACACTTCTCTAGATCGACCAAGCCTGAAGCCGAGCACGCGCCGGCCGACGTAGCAGCTTCTGAAACAGCCGCCTGTTGCCACACAGCGCGCTCGCAGCTCTTGCCCTTGGCCCCATCAACACAAGCAAGGTCGTGCTCCCTCTCCCATTGCTGTGCTTCACCCCTCCGTATCCTCCCCAATATACGAATGCATGTTGCGAGCACTCCTATTGGCCTGAAACCGCCATCTGGCTTCTTGAGGAACGCGATCAGGGCGAGGTCGCACTGATCTGGAATCAAAAACTCTGATTCTATCACCGACAAGAAAAGGCCAAAAACCCTCAAGGCATCGTCGCTGAGGAACTGCAGGACCTTCGGGCTCCACCCGTCGATGCCTATGGCCGTGCCTTTCTTGAACTTCTTCAAGACTGCCCTGATTTGTTCTGCTGTTGGGGCTGGTGGAGGGGCCTCAAGAGGAAACTGAAGGTCTCGACTGTCAAGCCTCTGGGGTTCTCCAGCATGCCAGATCTCCTTCCACTCCGAGACGAGCTGCTTGACCGTGTCGACGGGCCCAGCTGGGCACTCGGATGGCCCCTTGGGGTCGGGGGCCCAACCTTGAGGCTCCTTGGTCCACTTGTAGAGCCCTCCTCCTCCTGAGTCCAGGGATTGGTTAACCCAAGTCCTCCACTCCTTCGTCCTGCTCTTCTTAAACTCAGCCTCCTCCAAGCCCGCGATGGCCCGAACGGCCTCCAGGGCGGACTGGACGTCCTCGATGACGCTGTGCCGACCTAGCGTGAGCCTGTCGTGAAACTCGCGCCAGCCTGCATGGTCCTTCAAATTGGGGTGCCTCCAGAGGATCCTATCCAGAAGTCCCCGAACTCCTCGGTCGTCCCAATAGTGGTTCTTGCCCAGAAGAAACCCCAGTTCTTCCAACCAAACCTGATACTTCCGAATCGCCCTGGCAGCTTTCGAACACTTTGGAAACGGCCCCTTGATGTGCTCCAGAATCGGTTTCTCGACGATCTTATAACCAGTACCCCTCCCAAGATACTTAGCCCGTTCGTTCTCT